TGTGGCAGAGGGTTGCCGGAAGCAATTCTAAAGCATATTAAAGTAAGCATAAATTCAAAGTTTCCCTCCTGCCTAGCTATATAGATGGATAAATGAATAGCCTAAATGAATAACTTCAAGAAGATGAAATGCTGCTTCTGGAAACACTCAGAAAACGATTTCTTGCTACCTTGGTGGGATTTGTGAGTATACTGAAAAGCATCATTTCAACACACATGACCAAATATAAATCATGGCAACTCATGCTTTCTCTATAAACTCTGCTCTGCCTTGATTTCAGGTATTAGGATCGAATTACAGTAAATTATTTTTAAAATAATGCCTTTAACAGTTGTCAGGAAGAAGACATTCCAGATGAGCTACATGTGGTAATATCCTTCTTGAAGTGCAGATGGATATTAAAATACGGGAACAGAGGTGGTATTCAGCAGGTTCTGGCCAATTCTGGAGAACCGGTAGAGGAAATTTTGGGTAGTTCGGAGAACCGGTAAATATCACCTCTAACTGGCCCTGCCTCCATCTATTCTCTGTCTCCCGAGTCCCAGTTGATCGGGAGGAAATGGGGATGTTGCAGTAATCTTCCCTTGGAGTGGGGGGAGGGAATGGAGATTTTACAGTATCCTTCCCCTGTCACGTCCACCAAGCCACACCCACCAAGCCACACCATGCCCACCAAGCCACGGCCACAGAACCGGTAGTAAAAAAATTTGAATCCCACCACTGTATGGGCACCTAGCTGCAATTTAGCTTTGAAAGCTTAATTTTAGTCTAATCCGTAGCCAAAATTACCACACCGAGTTATTATTGTGGAAAAAGATGGAGATGAGAATGCTATGTTTGTTGAGCTTGAGCTCTTAGAGGAAAATCAGGTCATACATTTATTGAATAATATATGGAATATAATAATATGAAATTTATATTATATTATCATATTATAATTTTTATGTTATTTGTAAACATAAGCATCATAGGTAATAATTCATAAGTTCAGGAGTCTGGTTGCTAGTAGTTGTTTCCTCTCCCAGAGTGGTTCCAGCAAATTGATAACTCAAGATATTTTAGAAGGGAAAATGCTGGCAGAGAGCTAAAATGGAAACCATTGAGTTTAAACACACTTCCCAGAAGCCCATGTTAAAAATAATAAAAAAATCCAATTGCCAGTGTTTCTAGCTACTTAGGTTGCTGAGAAAATTAGCCTCTGGGGAGCCCACCTTCAGCTCAACAGCTGGCAATCAGATGTTAAATTGCAGTAGATTAGTGCATTATTAAATGCCGGATCATCAAGTTTTGCAAAGTTCAGACTAGTTCCTGTGAATATGTGCAAACATCTATTACCTCCCAAGACCGACAGTCCCATACTTGGTCTACTCACCCTTCCCTATATTTGACTGAAATATCAACTGCCACCATTTTAATGTTATGTTTTAACAATTATTCCAACATTTGAGATTCTTGTAGAGTCTTTGGCATATTTATCCTCATATTGCTAATTTGCTACCCTTTAGCTTGAATACCCCCTCCTCTTTGGGGATTTATTTTATTTTTGAGCACTAAATATTAGACCTATAGAATATTGATAGCATTGTATTATTTATTTCTGCAGGTTTACATTCATGGTGCTCGTGGGGGATGCTTCTTGCTGTGTTTTGTTTGTCTGCATTATCTTTTTCTGGTCATAACTTCATTGGCACAAGAACAAAATTTCACCCATGCATCAAAACAAGAGTTGTAGGTTTTATAGGGCATGGAAACCAACATATTCAGCTCTGTGTCTTGTATTTGTTTACAGCTTAGCCTCTAACCTTCTTATACTTGTTCTTCCATCTCCCTGAGGACTGGGAAATGCTCATGGAAATCGGAGGTCAGGTTATCTCACTGTCCCAGAGTGCATCAGCAATTTCTAGAAAGTCTTTACAGTGAATGATGTATCTGTCCATATATTTGGGGTGCTCTGGAGCAGCGTTTCTCAACCTCAGATCTTTAAAATGTGTGGACTCTCAGAATTCCCCAGCCAGCATGCAATGTAAATCAGAGTCATGTGAATCTGTTCACCTCCTGAGATTATTGGTGAAATGTCAATTAAATCCAAATATACCATAAGAATCAATGATAATAAAGATCCCTATACTGCTTAAAGGTAAAAGTTCCCCTCGCACATATGTGCTAGTCGTTCCTGACTCTAGGGGACAGTGCTCATCTCTGTTTCAAAGCCGAAGAGCCAGCGCTATCCGAAGATGTCTCCGTGGTCATGTGGCCGGCATGACTAAATGCCAAAGGCGCACAGAACACTGTTACCTTCCCACCAAAGGTGGTCCCTATTTTTCTACTTGCATTTTTTACCTGCTTTCGAACTGCTAGGTTGGCAGAAGCTGGGACAAGTAACAGGAGCTCACCCCATTAGGTGGCAATAGGGATTTGAACTGCTGAACTGCCAACCTTTCGATCAATGAGCTCAGCATCTTAGCCACTGAGCCACCGCATCCCTTCTATATTGCTTAGGTACAGATAATTGGGGATTTGATTTAAATTAAAATGGAAATAACTGAGGGAACATTTTAGAAAAATAGAATTTGTAGAAATTAAAAGGCATTAAGAAGATGCAAATCTTTGTTTCCAAGGATCAAAACTCCAACAATTTCTAATATTGTTCCCTGTGGGGAAATTAAGAAAGCTTGAAACAAGTCCCTTATTCTTTTGTTTTTCACTCTGTGACCACAAGAGGTGTTGGGGTGAGAGATCATGCTGACTACTACAGGCCAACAAATCTGTAAAAAATAAATGGTCAAAGAGATGGCTATGCTGCCACTCAGGAGACAGAACCCTATAGAAATAACACAGTCCTATAGAATAACAGAGTTGGAAGGGACCTTGGAGATCTTCTAGTCCAACCCCCTGCTTAGGCCTGAAACCCTATACCACTTCAGGCAAATGGTTATCCAACATCTTCTTAAAAACTTCCAGTGTTGGAACACTGGAAGGCAAGTTCTGGAGGCAAGTTGTTCCACTGATTAATTGTTCTGACTGTCTCCTTAGTTCTAGGTTGCTTCTCTCCTTGATTAGTTTCCACCCATTGCTTCTTGTCCTGCCCTCAGGTGCTTTGGAGAATAGCTTGACTCCCTCTTCTTTGTGGCAGCCCCTGAGATATTGGAACACTTGCTTTCATGTCTCCCCTAATCCTTCTTTTCATTGAACTAGACATACCCAGTTCCTGCAACCATTCTTCATATGTTTTAGCCTCCAGTTCCCTAATCATCTTGGTTGCTCTTCTCTGCACTCTCTCTAGAGTCTCCACATCTTTTTTACATCATGGTGACCAAAACTGAATGCAGTATTCCAAGTGTGGCCTTACCAAGGCATTAACCAACCCGTTAATCAAAAACCCCTCACCCTTTCTTCTGTGACCCAAAGCATCTTGTAGGCTATAGATTTTGAATGACACCATAAATGAAGCAGTTAGCCAACAGCTAGAAGTATATTTGCCCAAAGCTACTTTCTGTTGTTGTTTTTGATTCCCCCAATTCAACTTGGAGGCAAATTTCACTTCACTTTATTATATAATGGACAAGCATCCTTCTCGCCTTGGGCTAAACCTGTTAACTGCCACTTTCCCCCTGCTCTCCGTTATCCAAGGTTTCAAGAAGAGATCTTTCTTCATAGGCAGATCTCTGAGTTTTGCTTCCCATTGTTGTTCCAAACCCACAAACCTCAACAAATGCCTTTCTGTCAGGCAATGTTTAATTGTAAAATCATTTACATTTTACCTCACAAACCCCAGAAATGCCGTGCCTAAAAGAAACACAAGGGGCCGGTGCATATGTGCCAAATAATATTTATTATACCTGATTAGAGACTGTGTTTTATCACACGGAGTTATTCTATGACTCATAAATATCAAAGTGGGAGGAAATAAAGGTCTTCCCAAGAGAAATCCAAGACTTTAAATAAAAGGACCGAACAAGATACAGCAGATGCTTCCTTGTGAAATTCTAATGTTTGTATGATTGCTTGTACACATATTTGTTCCAGAAATCACCTTCACTCCCCAAAAAATGATGCTGAATTGTTTAAATCCAGGATCTCCAACCTTGGCAACTTTAAGACTTCTGGACTTCAACTCCCAGAGTTCCTCAACTCTGGGAGTTGAAGTCCACAAATCCTAAAGTTGCCAAGGTTGGAGATCCTTGGTTTAAATGATATCTCTGCATGATCCCAAGCAAGTCTGAAATCAGGAGAGAACAATCCCCATAAGACCCATTGATGTTCCCCTTGTGTCCCCCTTATTAAATAATTTTGACCATCTGATCAGGGAGCCATTCTGATCCAAGGATTCTCCAGCATCAGAATTTGCGGCTTGCTCATCTAACCAGGAGCCCACCTGAGGTATCCTGCCAACAATTTTCTCCTGACCTGGAAGCCAATCTCCAGCTCCACGAAATCAAACACCTTTCAGCAGTAGTTCCATGGAAGATCAGAAGTTGGGGTGTCAACTTAACAAATAAGGTGGTGTGACTATCTGGGGGGAACCCCTGCTCTTCTGCTGCTTTCTCCTATGTAATAAGAGTCATATTTCTGTAAACTGAAAAGTCAGCACCAACTTTTCATTTATCCTAACAGTCTCATGGGGTGGGAAAGAGGTATGGGAGGAAAAATGAAACATGTTCCAATGACCTTGACACAATACCTTCCCCTCCTCTCCCCCTTTCTCCCATGGCTGGAAGCAGCTGATTTAATATTTCTTCAGTCCCAACCAACTTCTACTGGCTGCTAACTAATCACAGGAGCACTGAGGGCCAGCAAATCTATTACAATTTCTAGAATATTGTTATCAGTTTCCTAGCAACCACTGTAACAGATATAAAGCTTTGTTGTGTCAGAGACTTAAAAACTCAAAGGTAAGTAACTGTTCCTGTAATCTGCTTAAATTGGGGAAGGTAACTATTGTATTCTGCCATCCATACTATTTTAACCTTCACCCTGTGGTATGTAGTGTAATGAAGAATCTGCAAAGAGGCATCTGCCATAGGATAAAGACACAGAACAGATGAGATGAGAACAGTCATCATTAAACAGAAAAATCAGGTAAGCCATTAGTCTTTCATGCTAAAATCAGTTATGCAGAAGTTATGGGTGTATTGCTGGTAGGGGAGTGAATTAGGTATAGTTAGTGCCAAACTCTGACATTCTCAGCAAACATTTCTCATGGAATATTTCTCTTCTCTCTTAGAAAAAGGAAGTCATCAAGTAATGTCTCTAGATACTTTTGCTCTGATTTTTTCTTATAGAAACAGGGGTGGGATGTGTGTATCAAAAAAGTGAAGAAAATGGTGGCCACAACCACATAAAGTAGTGGCCAAAATTGTGAAACCTTTTGGGAAAAGTGTATTTTTGAGGTTTGATGGCTAATAACACCACTTTTTTGGGGGGGAGTTTCAAGATAATCCTATTCCACTGCTGGAATGGCCTGGGAATAGCCCAGACCTTAACCCAATTGAAAATCTATGGAGCCGACTAAAGAAACTTGTTAGTCAGAAGCGACCCATAAATAAAACCCAGTTAATAGAAGCAATCATTCAATCTTGGTTTCACATTATAACAATTGTTTCCACAATTTTGGCCACTACTGTAATTGAAGCCTTCTTCTTTTCTTATGTTTTCTGTGCCTGTCGCGTGGATTACAACAGGGTGGGGATCACAGAGTCATAGCTGCCATGTTCAGTGTTTTTTTTTTTTTTTATGACTCCATCACTACCACCAACCCAGATTTTCCCCAAGCTGCAGAAAACCTCACATTAACAGAAATCCTCTTGCCTCCATTGCAGAGAAAAGGGGGCTGGAGTCCCCTAACCTGGCCCCATTGCACTTAGGGTGTTGGCAAAAGGAAGGTGTGTGATATTGGCACTCTTTTCCAATGTACTCCCTGTTCCTTTCTTCTAGCTCTTGCAAGAATGACAAGGCCAGGCAGCCTTAGAACTTTGCAGCTCTCTCTAAAGCCCTAAAGCTCAAGAGGGAAGAGAAGAAGAGCCTGGTGGAGCAGCAGACTAATAGCCTGTTATTATCATTCAGCTGCCTGCAATTACTGCTAGTTCGAATCTCTCCAAGGCTCAAGGTTGACTCAGCCTTCCATCCTTTCAAAGGTAGGTGAAATGAGGACCCAGATTGTGGGGGCAATAAGCTGACTTTGTATAAATATACAAAAGTATGAAGGCTATTGCTTAGCGCATTGTAAGCCACCCTGAGTCTCCGGAGAAGGGCGGCATATAAATCAAATTTTAAAAAAAGAAAAGAAAAAGTGGAGCCGAGACTTCTCTCCAATGGAAAAACTGAGTCACAATCTCCCATCCCCAAAGAACAATCACCTTTAAAAAAAAAAGAACAAATTAATTTTACCTTAGATTGGAATAAATCAGCTCTCTTCTTCAACGTTATTGACATTCACAGTGATGAGCTACAGCATCTTCATAGCATCACTCAGTCATTGTTGAAGTAATATAAAGCCAGCCTCCATTACTATTGCTTTGGCACAATAATGGTTGCAAGATACTATAGGGCCTAGTGCAGAAATGATAATTATGGAACCCTGAAACCTGACTCTGCTTTCCAACTGGCTTAGGATCATCATGGGAAAATGCCTTTAGGTCGATCTTGGTGATGATCCAACAGGATGGTTGGTATTCACTAATGGCCCATCCAGGTGAGGCAGGGCAGGAGAATGATAAACCTCAGCTCAAGATCTATTTCTTTGTTTCTTTCCATACTAATGTCAACTCACAAAGCATCTCTGGCCTACTCTCAAGTTGCCATAGACAAGGAGGGTGGGAAAACGAACTTTGCAGCTGCAGCAAGGGAGCACTTCAGTCAAAACAAAAGCACATTCCAGCCATCTCTCTGTCAAGGCCATCTCCGTGGTTACCCACAGTGGCCAGAAGGAAGTGATCTCTACAATCCGCGAAATTGCTTTGTTGAATGTGTCTGATGACACAGTTGAGTGGAGGGTGGAAACAGGATCAGAGCCAAGACGTAAATTAAGTGAGGTCAGAGTTGGCTTCACTTGGAACATGCCAAAATGAGCTCCTAATAAATAACTGGATTTCTTTTGAAGCTTGGCTCGAGGCTTATGATTTAATTAGGGAATCAGTAGGAGCCCTGACAGCTATGTTCAGAAAGTCATCTCTCTGGCTTCAGAATGTTACAGCAGTTAGTAACATGGTGGAGGTATTGACAATGAAATCTCTGACTATTTCAACTACAGTATTGAATGAAGGATTTTAAACCGTTTCATCTTCAGTAAATGCTTTGAAAACACATTCATCTAAACAATTTCATTTTGCAAACTGTCAAATTTTGACAATCAGGACACCCACCTCTGGGATGTTATATTTTCAAAATGTTAAGAAGTTATTTTCATGTACTTAAATATATTTTGGAATCACAAATAATGATCCCCCCCTTTTAATGCTCTGTGTATGAAAATCAGTGCAAAATAATCATTTTTTTTTTAATGGAAGGAATTTAGAATTGAGGAGGAAAAATTACAGTTCCAGAGATGGTGGTACTACATTTCAATCAATCAAAAATACGTTGATGCTGAAATGAATAATGTTTCTTTAGTAAATACTAATTTGTTATCATGACGGAATTGGAATAGAAATTTGGTATTTTGGAGATAAGAAAGAGAGCTATAGAATATCACATACTTAGCAACTGGATTGTGTAACTAATATCTACAACAATTCTTTAGTTGTTACGATGTGTGACATAATCACTGGGGATGGAGAAAATCTAGCAGGAAAACAGAAAAGAAACCTACTTTAAATTAAAACTGTATGTTCATGCTTTTAGCATCTATCATAGTAATATAGCATCGCATTCAGTTGTTGAGCTCAGGTTGGGAAGATGCAATCCCCATGCAGTCATGAAAGCACAATAGAAGGTCTGGGGATTAGTCATGACACCCAGCATTCAAACGCGCTAGTTAAAAAGTTTGGTTGGCATTAGGAAGACCAAGGTTCAAATCCACCCTTGGCCATGGAAACACCTTGAGTAGTTTTGCACCCCATTTCTTCTTCCCTGCTTTAGTGTGCAGAAGATAAAGGAGGGGGAGCACTCTGTGCTATGCTTTGAGATTTCAAATGTAAAGTGTTATATAGGATATCTAATTGCATCTTTGAATGGGATGTATCAATGGTTAATCCTATATACCCGTGATGGTGAACCTATGGCACGTGTGCCAGAGGTGGCACGCAGAGCCCTCTCTGTGGGCATGTGCGCCGTCGCCAGCTGCTCTTCTGGTTTCAGATACTCACATGTGTGCTGGCCAGTTGATCTTCACAAGCACTGGAAAACTGCCCGAAAAACGGCCAAAAATTGTCTGTTTTTTGGGCCGCGTTTCAGGCCATTTTTTGGCTGTTTTTCAGACCAAAAACAGCCCAAAAAATGACCTGAAAACAGCCTGAAAGCAGCCTCAAAACAACCAAAAAATGGTCAAAAAACAGGCATGCACACGCCAGCCAGCTGGTCTTCAGGTTTCAGGCGCTCCTGTGCATGCACATACATGTGCATGCACGCGTGGACCAGTTTGCGCAATAGGTGCCGAAAAGGTTCGCCATCCCTGCTACAAATATAATCCTATATATAATTGTTTGTTTGACTTTGAGAAAGACAAAGCTATTTACATGAAATAATTCTAGAAACCTTTTAAAAACAAAGACGAACCAAAATTTCAGGAGGGGAATGCCTCTAAAGACCAGTTCTTCTTTCTGATCTTGAAGCCCTACAACTTCTGTGCCAGCATCCATTACCAACCTTTGAACAGCTGGACTAATTACACAGGAAGCTTGTTGAGTTTTTATCTTCTTCTTTTTTTTCTTGATGTGGGATTGCAGCAATTCAACTCAGCATTGAAATAAATTGCTGGTGAGGAGAACCAATTTGTCCCTAGGAAGGAGAACCGTGGAACAGGAGGATGTCCACAGCATCCTTTAGGAAGCGAACAAAAAGATTTTTTTTTTTTTTTTGCTGGAGATGGTTCAGCCTAGGAATGGAAGGAAGAGAATTTTTAATGTGAATATTGTGGGAGCAGAGAGAAATGGAAATAAAACCCAGACATGGACTGTCCTGGAAGGACATCATGATGGAATAATGACTGTCACAAAGAGATGGATCAAGGTCAGAGGTGGGATTCAGCCGGTTTGGACCAGTTCAGGCGAACCGGTAGTAGCGACTTGTAGATGGGACCTGCCACCCAACCCGCTGCTATGCTATCCTACTTAGCCACGTTTAACCATGTGCAAGCCCCCCACATGAGCAAAACACATGTGCAGAAGGCGTGCACACACTCACATTTTCGGTGCTGGGCGAACCAGTTGCTAAATTATGTGAAGAGGTGTCTGATCAAGGTAGCTGTTTTAGAGAAGAGTCTGAGGTTTTACTGCTTTTTCCCTCCTGGTTTTTATCCTTGAGGGAGGAAGAGTGAAGGTCCTTCTCCAAGATCTTGGCTCTAGATAAAGTCTCCCATGGGACCATAAAGTAGAATCGAAAGGGAGAGTCTCAAAGAGCTTGTTTGGCCAGGAGAGCTCCCAATCAACTAATGACGGGCACCCCAAGACCACTGAGGGTACAAGATAGAAGTGTTATATCCATAATCCCTTTAGACAGCTAGGTTTTTTTTTTAAGCACTCAGTAATGTTCCACTTAGTCAATATTTAATAAAATGAAACAAAATCAGTCGGGTGTGGTAATTGTCTGATTATGTGCCATCAAGTCAGTGTCAGTTTTTTAGAGGCTACATAGAAAGACCTTCTCCACAGGATAATCTTTTCCCCAATCTAGTGCTTAAAGTTTTTTTTTTTTTAATGGAGCATCCATTCCTACCGTAACTGAGTCCGTGTATCTTGCTGTTGGATCATTTTCTTCTATTTCCTCTCACCATTCCCAGCATTATAGACTTTTCAAGGGAACAGGTTTTCACATAATGTGAAATGTGTCCAAAGTAGTTTAATGTTTGCCTAGTTTTTTCTGCTTCAAGTGAGAACACTGGATTTATTTTTCTACCATGCATTTATTTTCTTGCCTAATCATGGTAGCCCCAGGAGTCTTCATTAACACTAGTTCAAAACCATCAATGATCAAAATCATCAATCAAATGCAGGAACTGGGTATGTCTAGTTTAATGAAAAGAAGGACTAGGGGAGACATGATAGCAGTGTTCCAATATCTCAGGGGCTGCCACAAAGAAGAGAGAGTCAAACTATTCTTCAAAGCACCTGAGGGAAGAACAAGAAGCAATAGGTGGAAACTAATCAAGGAGAGAAGCAACTTAGAACTAAGGAGAAATTTCCTGACAATTAGAACAATTAATCAGTGGAACAACTTGTCTCCAGAAGTTGTGAATGCTCCAACACTGGAAATTTTTAAGAAGATGTTGGATAACCATTTGTCTGAAGTGCTGTAGAGTTTTCTGCCTGGGCAGGGGGTTGGACTAGAAGACCTCCAAGGTCCCTTCCAACTCTGTTATTCTGTTTCTATCTCTATCTTGTTATCCTGCTCCTTCAGAATCTAACCTTTGATTCCATACAGCAGTGTATCTCAATCTTAGTAGCTTTTAAGATGTATGGACTTCAGTTCTCTGAATTCCCCAGCCAGAGTATCCAGGAGTACACTAGAAAGATGACACCCAAAGATGACCTGCAGAGAGAATGGCTGAGGCAACAGCAGAAATGGGAAGAAGATCAAACAGAGGAAGTGACATGCAAGACAGTGTACGGGCCAGACCCTCTCAGATGCGACATTCCACAGAAAGTCATAGAGAATAAGAAGGCAGCGGTAGAAATGGACCAGAATGTCAATGTATGAGAAATTATGAGCTGGGATAGCCATAACAAGTCAGCCAATGAGAACTCTTTGGTGGCTAAGAAACAGGATCTATTGTGAGCCATGGGAAATGGCTCAGAGCCTGGGCATGGCTTATCTTAACCGTTCTGTGTATATAAGCTTGCTTCTAGTTCTGGTCCTCTTGTCCTTGTACTTGCTACCATGTTGAAAGAGCTGCATGGGTATTGTATACATGCATCATGTTTTATATTATTGTATATAAAGAAGTTTCTTCTATAAATAAATCCTGCTGAATTATTTACTTGTGTGCTGGTTGGATCGCTGCAAACTCTAACAAAGAAGACAATGGGTATGATAGATGTAGTAGTGCCAAGTGACAGGAACATGAGGAAGGAGTATGAGATGCTGGACAAGTACCAAGGCCTGAAAGGGAGAAGTGGAGGATGTGGAAAGTAAAGGCCAAAGTGGTCCCAATGGCACTTAGGGCCATGATTCCTAAACACGGAGAATGGCTGAAACAGATCCCAGGAACAACATCAAAGCTCTCTGTCCTGAAGAGGGCATGGCTAGAAATAACTAGGATACTGTGCCAAACTCTTAAACTCCCAGATCTCTGGTAGAGTAATGAGATTAAGGAAGACAGATACCATCCATAGCGGTTAGACATGACCCTTTTATGTATCTATTCCCGTGATGGCATGCGTGCCCAAAGTGGCGTACAAAGCCATGTTCCCCAGCATGCGGGGCCTTGTCTGTTTGTCTTCTGGGTTACTGGTGCACATGCGCGTGTGATGATCAGCTGTCCTTTGCTCACATGGCAGTGCCAAAAACCAGAGTGCACAGGTGTGCTGGCCAGCTGATTGTCAGGTGCGCATGCGCACCAGAACCCGGAAGGTCAGCTTTTATGGAGCAAAATCCTTTTGCGCCCGCGGCAGTGCCAAAAACTGGCCTGCACATGCACGCCGGCCAACTGATGGTTGCGTGCCCATGCGTGCTAGAACCCAGAAGTTCAGCTTTTCCGGGGCATGGCCTGACGAGCACGAGCGACGTTTCCGCATGACCTTTTCATCACTGATCTATTCCCTTCTACAAAATGTCAGACTCCCAACCAGACTTTTGCTGACAAATACTGAGATATGATACATGTGAGCAGCTTTAAATTTTGAGCAACACTTCACATGACTAAACCTGGCATATTATGATCAATTAGTAGCGCAACATATGTCAATATTTTTATGGCGTATGCAAAATGGGGAGATGCCAAACACACCAGTGAGTGATCAATACAAAAACACAGTTAAACGTTTCAAATAATGTGCCGAAAGCGCCTCTTAAACTGGGTGGGAAAACTCGCAGATCCTTCATCACCTACAAATGAAGTGACTTCATGTAACACACTGTTAAACACACACCCATGTGAAATGTTAGTGCATTCGTGGCATTAAAGTAGTGGGAAAAGTAAGGTTTTGATCTCAGCAGCCTCCTCATCTAGGCAAGCTGTGCAATGAACAGAATAACAATTTCAGGGTATTTCTCTCCCTCTGAATTCACTCATGATTTGAATGGGGTGGATCTTCTTCTTAGCTGAACCTCTCCTGACGGCTGCATAGATTTCCTCTGGCTTCTCTTTCTTAATCAAAGGTTTCTTTTCGGGAGCCTTCATCCGCCACATCACCACAGGATGTCGCGGGCCAGCAGGACTCTGAATTCGGATAATCTTTGTGGAGGCAATGTAGGACATTTTCACCGTCTGCACCACAGCATTCATCAGGTTTTTGGCAGCTTGAATCAGCGAAGTCACACTGTCTAACTGTAAGCAGAAACACAACTATTATAATCTCAGAAATGCCTGTTGTTTCCTCTTGTAGTACACTTGAATACGCAGAACATAAATTTTATCGTGTCAAAAATAGCATGCAGTGCTGGATAACAGAGATAAGGAGGGGGGGGTCACTTTAATGAGGTCCAGCTTAGAGTTTCTGAAAGTCTTGTTAACAGGTCAACCTAAACACAATACCGTGTTTCCCCAAAAATAAGACCTTGTCTTATATTTTTTTGAACCCCGAAATAAGCACTTGGTCTTATTTTCGGGGAGGTATTATTTTGGGTCATGTGGAGCAAGATGGGCCTCCTCTTGCCGTCTTACCTGATTTCCAGCTTTGCGTTTAAATATTTTCAGGGAGGGCTTATTTTCAAGGGGACGCTTATTTTAGCACATGCGCTCAAAAGCCCGATTGGGCTTATTATCAGGGGATGTTTTATTTTTGGAGAAACAGGGATAACATAATTGAGAGCTGCAAAAACAAGTCACCAAATTTTTGTAACAAACATGAACTGGATTATACTTTTGTTTAGAAGTAAAATTTCACATGTTGCAATCCCAGATTTTTGCAATTCCAAAAATCTGTAATTTTGGCAAGACATCCCAACAAAATAGTGTTGCTCAGATAGCTGTCAGTCACCTACCTGAAGAAGACAGAAAACATGAAAGAATTGGAGATAATAATTGGATCCATGCTTTTTTTTAAAAAAAAAAAATCTGAATGCTTGAGAAAATGTTTAAGTGTACTACTTTCAGTTTCTGCAGTGGCAAAAAATGCAACTATCTGAAAGACATTGGGAATATTGATATCTATTAGAACAATTCACAGGCTGGAAACAGTTCAGCTTCAAGACAGAGAACTTGGTGATGCAGTGAGTTATTACAGATAGTCCTTGGCTTACAAACCATTCATTTAGTGATTGTTCAAAGTTACAACAGCACTGAAAAAGTCACTTATAACCGGTCTTCACCTTTACGACCATCACCGTTTTCCAATATTTTACTTAAAATACTAAAGGTAACTGTTGTGACCTAGGCTTACCGAGTCATTAAAACACATGAGTAGTCCCAAAAACCTCTTTTATTGCAACAGCTGTGAATTACTTTCATTCATAGCTGAGTCTCAATTAGTTGCAAAAAGTCCTTCGGGAGAAGTCCTTCGGGATAATCACCAACCTTTATCTCCCTTGACACACTGCCAAAGACCTACTTGGCAAAGCCATACAGAGTCCAGAATCAAACAGAGATGCCGACTGGGAACAGAATTAACAACGTTGCTTTCTGCAAAGGGCCAACGTGCCTTTGCTCCTCTTTTAAGCCTTATGGGAGGGGCCAATCATCTCCAGGCCTTACTCCAGAGTCGTCCCTTTTGTTTTAACTATTCTTGCCTTCTGGCAGCTCTGCACATGCACACACTAGGAACAGGCTCCTCCTGTTCCTCTGCCTCTCTGCTGTCCGACTCTGGAGGCTCCAGAGTCCGCACATCTCCCAGATGGCCCTAGCCCTATCTCTGCCTCTGATGCAGAGCCCTCATCCAAGCCTTCCCCAGACTCCAGGACTGGCCCATGTTCCTCCCCAGCCTCCTCACTGTCCAACTCCGCTGCCAGCTCTGTAGGCTGCTGGTGGACCACAACAGTAACATGCATTTCTTTTTGTATAAATGTTTTGCTTATTAGTGATGGTAAGATTTCCCCTCTGATTGTTCAATGTGAAACAGGATGCTTGAGTAGATGGGCTTATGATCTGATCCACTTTAATTCTTTTCACGTACTTGGGCTTAATACTTTTTATTATATGCAAGACAGATGGAATTCTGGAAGTGTTCTTAATATATAAGGTATCAGTGTAAAAGGAATCGTATGATGTGTAACGTAGACTGCATTGCATTTGAATTGTATCATATTTCATTTTGTGTATGGCCCTCTAGGTGAATGTTAAATTCTTTAGCGTTCCTTTCCTTGTTCATCTACAGCTTAAGCTTCCTGTGCTGTTATTTCACATTGAAAAAATTGAAAAAAGGATAAATATACTGAAATGTGGACCGGTGGCTTGAATGAATAATTTTCTCGCTTCTAAGAGTCTCTGTGCTCCTATTTAATCACAGGGCTGACCATTTCAATTTAGAAACGCATTTCCACTTCAAATTATTTTAAATAATGCCATATGCTTGGATTTATATATTCCCAATCTTCACACGGGAGCAAGCGCACAGACACACATCAAAAATAGACCTGATTATTCTGATCATCCTCTGAACTTTGATGGAGAAAAAAGAGATACCACGTGCAGCTCCTTGACGTATTATTTTTTTTCCAAAAAATCATTTAGTGTAGAATTAAGACTAAGAACACCTTGTGCTGAATTGAAAATAGATTATCGAGATCATTTTTGTCCTGCTTGAAAGGTTCAGAATAGAATAGAATAGAATAGAATAGAATAGAATAGAATAGAATAGAATAGAATAGAATAGAATAGAATAGAATAGAATAGAATTAGAATAGAAATAGAAATAGAAATAGAAATAGAAATAGAATAACAGAGTTGGAAGGGACCTTGGAGGTCTTCTAGTCCAACCCCCTGCTCAGCCAGGAAACCCTACACCACCTCAGGCAAATGGTTATCCAACATCTTCTTAAAAACTTCCAGTGTTGGAGCATTCACAACCTCTGGAGACAAGTTGTTCCACTGATTAATTGTTCTAATTAATTAACTGTTCCATGTGGCTGGTTCTTTCCTGCTGTCTTATGATCCAAAGCAAAGTCAACAGGCCCAGGACTCACTGCAGGTAAAGTTGACTCCAAAGCAGCTAGAGCAGATGCTCCCAAATATATCTAGCCATAATATTATTATGGGGGTTTAGACTCCAGATTTGAAAGACACCTCATCTTCCCATGCCTACAAATACTTATTTCAGCACTCTAGAAGCCTTGCCAAGCCTTCTTCCTGGTTAGAGTTTAGACTGGACAGGAACATTGGAGGGCTGCAACAAAACCATAGATTTGCCACAATACATTTATTAATATAGGTAGTCCCCAAGTTAAATCCAGTTGTTTAGCAACTATTTAAAGTTACAATGGGCCCTCTCAAAAGTACTTAAAATCTAGTTCCAAAGTTCTGACAGCTAGCTACTGCCCGTGGTCATGAGAGTGCAGGTTGGGCGCTTGGCAACTGGCCAGTATTTGCAATCATTTGCCGTGTCCATGGTCATGTGATTATGGTTATAGTCAAAAACTGGGAAATAAACCAACATTTACTTCTGGGCAGTGGTGAAATCCAATTTTTTTTTTACTACCGGTTCTGTGGGCGTGGCTTGGTGGGCGTGGTGTGGCTTTGTGAGCATGGCAGGGGAAGGATACTGCAAAATCTCCATTCCCAGCCCACTCCAGGGGAAGGATACTGCAAAATCCCCATTCCCTCCCCACTCCAGGGGAAGGATATTGCAAAATCTCCATTCCCATCCCCACTCTGTGGCCAGCCAGAGGTGGTATTTGCCGGTTCTCTGAACTACTCAAAATTTCCGCTACCAGTTCTCCAGAACCTGTAAGAACCTGCTGGATTTCACCCCTGCTTCTGGATTTTGGCAAAAATGCCCCATAGCAAACAATATGTTCACTTTACAATTCCACACTTGCTTTGCAACCATCAGGTTTGCTTAATGACGTTTGCTGCAAGAAAGGTCCTAAAATTGGGTCAGTCACTTTATGACTGTCATAACTTAACAACCATAAAGGGCAGGCTCCATTACGCTTGTAAGTCAGCGACTACCTGTAGTAAGGCAAATTTGCGTTGCATTATTTTTTTACGTTCTTGTTGTGAAAAAAGAAAGAAAAATGCAAATCCCCAAAATAGTATTCTATATATATTTGACCTTTGAAATGAGTCCTGACTCTATGAAATAATATTAATCAGTGTTTCCACGGTGTTGCTGCAGTGCCAATTTATAAAAAGAAATTATTACGTATCTCTAACCATCACTGTAAGTAAATCTTATATTTCTAGCACTTGAAAAGTCTTCTTTCTCTGCGAATCCACATGCCATAACATAGCCATATTTTTTTTTATCTCAAAGACAGTCCAACATTTCAGTACGTAATTTAATTAGATTTGCAATCTTTAAACCACAATGATCTTTCGAATACCATTAAAACAATTTTGTGAAAGCAGCCCAGGATGGGATATTCATTTTAAAAAGACTGTATTTGCAAGGTAACTGTTCCCTCATCTATGCACAGTCCTTGTTTAGTGAGGCAACTTAGTCCCCCAGTCCCAAAACAGTCTCAACTCATTGAGGTTGGCAAATCAGTCCCTAAGTGAAGAGGTCATTAAGTGAAAATACAATGGTGCTTACAACCTTACTTCAGCTCTCCTTTGCTTCACTGACCAGCAGAGGTCATGAATATGAGGATTGGTTCCAATGTTCCTTTTTCATCCCCAACTGCGAGAGTCGTGAAATAAGAATGTTGCTAAATGAGTAGTGCAATGCACTTGCAATATCCTGACATTGGCAAGCAATAGCAGCAATAGCAATAGCGCTTAGACTTATATACCGCTTCACAGTGCTTCACAGCCCTCTCTAAGCGGTTTACAGAGTCAGCATATTGCCCCCAACAATTTGGGTCCTCATTTTACCCACCTGGGAAGGATGGAAGGCTGAGTCAACCTTGAGCCTGGTGGGATTTGAACTGCCAAATTGCAGGCAGCCGGCAGTCAGCAGAAGTAGCCTGCAGTACTGCACTATAACCACTGCACCACCGAGGCCCTTAATTTAAAAAAATAAATAAATTAAAAAATTAAAAAAGCAATCCCTTTTAAACATTCTGTGAGGAATGTGACAGACAAGGTTAAGAATATTTTGTTGCACGAAATTGATCTTAGGGTCTTAGGAGAAACACACAGTATTTTTAAAACTTAACAGGTTTAATGTATAACCAAACCCTCACTCAGCTAATAGCATTCTTTAGCCTCCATTTGCTCCACCACTGACTACAACACCAATGGCCATACCTTGAGATGCTTCCCATCCCGTCCCCCA